AGCTCTACCTTTGGGCGGAAAATGAGCGTTAGGGGATGCCTAGTTTATTTTTGCGGTAAAAAAAGACCGTGTAAATTTTCATTTGTGACACCCTGTATATCTCAGTGAGAACTTGAGCCAAGCAGGATCCTATGCAGACGCCTGATTTTTGGGTGAAGATCTTCCCTTTGTGTTCAACCAGGGTCGACCTCAGGTATAGTCTGATCAGCTGAAGGAACGCGTCGAAAGAGGTGCTGTTCTGTCCATCCCTAGATTTATTCTTTCTGTTTTTATTTAACGTCACCAACGCGCTCACGTGGAACTAAACCGATTACACGCTCAGAAATCCTAGGCGTGGTTGATTTAGTCGCTCATGAGAAATGTTATGCTGTAGGCTTGGCTTGATTGGTTTCAGCGAATTGCAGCGTTTGTCGAACCTGACGTTTGATATCGAACCTCGAGTTTCGACTCGTTCGACGCACCTTCGAACTTTTGAAAGAGGTCAATCGACTTTTAAAGATCGTTATCGACGAAGGTCGAATTTTGACGACCCTTCTCACAAAATTGCAGATACTTGAGAAAAATAAGTTTTACGTGACTTTTGTTGTATATTTTTGCACGTAATTAAAAAACACACACACAGACACAAACACATAAGGATACACACACACGTGCATTAGACACGCGGAGCAACTTATTGAGTTCGGTAATGTGAAAAATGTGTGTAGTGATGTGTAAAAGAGAAAGTTACGTCAGATCATATCACGCGAGTGCACTGATTGGGTAGCGGTTCCCATTGTTATAAAGTCAATAAAAGGCGAGCGATCGCGCCGATCGCTCGAGGACACGCTCAGACCACAATCCAGAACGAACGTGTCCGTTGGCTTGCTCCTGCGGGATCTGATGTCGTCGGAGGAATTGCCGCTCCGAAATGACCGGCCGTCTCCCGGAACCCACACCGCAGCCCGGTGAGTCGGACCTCACGCATCCAGCGATGTCCCGGCGAACCTGCCTTTAGGTGAACGGCACCTCATCACCCCGAAGACTAGCTGGCCAGCCCGTGGTCTTATAATACTACATTTATGGCGACGAGGGTTGTTCAGGGTTCGTGGTCTGATGGTCCTCCGCCTCTGCCGCTCTCCGCTGTCAATTCGGGCTTCGTTTTCCTACAGCCAACCGCCGTTTGGAACGCTAGGGTAGTCATCGGCTTGGGCACCCGGTAGCTATCCCGGCTCCCTACGTTGGTTTATTGTAGCGGTTTCAAGCCCCGAGCTCTTTGCTTTCATTTAGTTTTTCACCGTATTTTCTGTTTCGCGGCTTGCCGGCAGAATTCCCCTTTTGTCCTAAACACCGCGTAAGGGTGTGCGACTGCTAAGTGCTCTGTATACTGCAGCAACTGTATGTAGCCGTTGGCTACGAGCATCTTTTGAGTCGCTCACCTATTTTCACAACTTACACTTTGAAGTCGTTATGGCACTTAGCTGCCGCAGTTAGTATGTGAGCTTCGATTACGGTCCTCGCACCTCTTCGACTCGCTTATCGTGACTGTGCGACTCGAGCTACGCAATTTTTGCTCTTGATTTGCGGTGCGGTGCTCACAGGCTTTAAGCCAAAGTTTTTTTTCAGGTTTTACACGATTTTGGTTCTGTTTTGTAAAGTAGCTGTAAGAGTCCTCGCTCTTTCATGCACAGTTGAGCGTATACTCTTGCTTTAACGATATATTCAAACAAACATCATGAATACTGAACAACGGCAGATAACGGTCGTTCAGTCCGCGGCGTTGCCACCGCCACCGCCGTTTCTCGCAGTTCCGGGACCGCCACCACAGGCCTGGCCTGCATGGAAAGAGACATTCATGTCATTCCTAGGTGCGGCGGGCCTCGAAGGTGTTGACCCGAAGAGAAAAAAACAGATTCTTTTTTCGTTGTTGGGCATTGAAGGGCAACGAATAGTGTCCGCATTTGGATTCACTAACCTTCCACACTCGGAACTTCTTGACGAGTTCGAGACCTTTTTAGCGGCCGTGGAGAGCCATTTTGTTTTTTCCGGATCTCTAGCACTCGAGCGTAAGAAGCTCCGTCTTCGCGTTCAGCAGCCGGGAGAGAGTGTCACGGAATTTTTAGCGGCGTTACGCCATCAGCACGCGCTTTGCGCGTTTGAAGACGGGTCCGAGAACACGCGACTTTGTGATCTTTTTCTTGATGGTTTGATCTCGCGCCGTGTTCAGGATCGCATTCTTAGAGACTGCGTAGGTCGCCAGGTACCGACGCTTGAGCGCGCGATACAGCTCGCGCTGCAGTTTGAGCAGTTGGCACGCACAGCAGAGCAGTACCATCAGCCACGTCAGGGGGAGACCGTCGCCAGCTGTTCCACTGCACCCGTGCAGTATGTTGCTGGGCCCGAGACCGAACGAGTACAAGCGGCTGCTCGTCATAACGACCAATCTCCAGCACTCTTCTCGGGAGACGACTGTTTCAGTGAACATGGAGCAAGGTTCCCATCGTGGCCATGTGACCCCACCAGACCTGCTCCGAGGTCTCAACGGGGGCGTCCTGGGACAGCCCATGCTCCACGCCCGCCGGCGCGCCAGAGTAACATTCCTCATCGAGACCCGCCTCCTGCGAGAATGGGGCCGCAACAGGACAACTACTCATGTTGGTTTTGCGGCCGAAGGAATCACGCCAGGGAGAACTGCCCTGCACTCAACTCGCAGTGTTTCCAGTGCGGTAAAATCGGACATTTTGCCGTCG